GATCTAGAGATGAAAATGCATAAATGGCCAAATGGTTCAGATTGTGTTACTTGGTGGATGTGTGATCTAAAAAGTGATTGAGATTCATAAAATACAGTGCAAACTCTGCAGATCACAACTTTTGTGGCCAAGTGGTTATGATCGTTGACTTCAAACCACTTTCCTCTCACTGCTGTGGGTTCAAATCCTGATATAGACTTTCAATTTAAATATGCCCACTGATGTACAATTTTAAACAAATGCGACTTCAAATGTCAACAGGTTGGCATTTTGTACATTCGGTTTCTACAACCATAATAATAAATATACAAATAATGTATTGTTTGCTTTTTGTATCTATGAATTCACTTATTTTAGGTGGGCATTTACTTGATATATTGAAAAAAAAAACTTGTCAACAACTCCCAGCATCAAATTACAATTTGTTTACATGTCTAGTTTGTTAGGGTAGGTTAGACCGAAATACTGTATCCGTTCTGTGTAGTTCGAGGTCCTTATCCGAAGACTGACGGAAAGGGCCGAGTAGTTGCGATTGGCTGATTGATAAGGTAGAGACTCGTGAACACTATTGAAGAGTTGAAAATGAACAATTGACACTCAAGTCTGTGATAAATCAAAACAAGCAAAAAACAGTGATTTCTTTAATAAGCAGAGTACAAATTAGATATTGTCTCCCAACAATTCTTAATATTTATTCATTTTTATCCTACTGTATGTGTTTTATTGTAGATAGTGAATCTTATTTTAAACAAAGTTTTTTTTACAAACATATGTATTATTTATGAATTTCATTTGTAACCAATATGTATTGCAAAAATGAAGAAAAACATTGCTATATAGCATCAATATCAGGAAGCTTTAAATCAGCTTGATCAAACAATTGATATAAATGAGAGATATTTTTATGCTCCCCGAAGGGTGAGCATATTGTTGCCGTTTTTTCCGTCCGTCCGAGCATTCCAACATTTTGGGTTTAGGGGTTATTTTCTTTGTTATTTTCTTTGTTTTCTTAAGGGCTACTAGCCCATAAACCCTTTGATCACGGAATGAACCTATTGTTCTCTTTTGTTCTCTTTACTGTTATATAGCCCCTAAACCCAAAATGTTTTCTCGTACAAACCCAGCGGTACATGTATGACTTGGAGAACAATGTATGGGTATGGGTATATTTTCTTTGATCCTATTCATTCCGTTTTTACTTGTGTGTCTTTTTAGACACTATGTGACTAAAATGAATGTAAAGATCAAAGGAAAAGTCACAGAACCATTTCGTAAGTCTGCCCGTCCGTCCGTCCCCTTTTCTTGTCCGGGAAATAAGTTTGAAACAGCAAGCCTTATCAATATGAAACATTGTAGGTAGAGAGATCTACGACATTGAGTATACGTGCAGTGAAAAAGAACCGTAACTCTGCCTTGCCTAATTTTTGAGCTATTGCCCTCTTTTAGCTCATCTGAGGACAAAGTGCTAAATGTATGTTTACATGTGGTGGCTTTTGGAAATTCCGTTGGCATAAAATATGTCGACCTCGAAATTTTAAGGTTATTTTTCACATTTGATAACTCATTTATGTAAATGAAGATATATTGGTCAATATTTTAACGGTTACTGAAAGATAAATATATTGTGCTATATGTTTGCATGTTTAAGTATGTAAATATGACTTATTTAAATAAAATGCGACAGCAAAAATGTTGACCATGTCGGGGGAATACGCTACGGCGAGTTATATACCTTGTACAATGTATAAATTTTATATAGTAAACGGGTGCTGGACAGTAATTTTTGTTCTTGATGATCATGGGTTGATTACTTTATGCTAATTTGACCACTATAGGCATGGCAAATGTGCCGAACGCCTGCAGTTTTACTCAGAATGATTATTTAATAGTACAGAAAAAAGACACTATTGATGATCTTATTTTTATTTCAAAATCTTACTTCATCACACAAGAAACAAAATATAAAAATTTCAATTTTGTTAGTATGGGTAATGAAAGAAATATATCTAGTTCAAAATCATACAAACAAAATCGCACCAACATGCATGTACTTTTACTTCCGCTGATTTCTGTTTGTAAGTTAAACAGAATCAAACAAAAAACAAAAACAAACAACAACAAATAATATAAACAATACTTATAACCATAATGCTAAATAATTTGAACAGAACATCGAAACAAAATAAGACAACTTGCAAATCAAAAGAAGCACTTTCAATCCGTACTTTTACATACAAGCCAAATCCCAGACATGTTTATGGCTCCCTAACAAAAATAACTTGGCTTAAATGTCTACAATATCAAGACGATGTTTTCCGTCCAAAAATCAAGTCCCTACCTCAAAGGTCAAGGTCACACTACCATTTTGAAGTTCACTTTATCACAATTAGAGTTTATAGGTACACACATTCGTTTCCGGGCTGTAACTTTGTCATGCATCGAATTATTTTAAAATAACTAGGCATAAATGTCTACCACATCAAGACGATGTGTCGCGTTCAAGAATTACGTCTTACCTCAAAGGTCAAGGTCACACTTACATTTTGAAGTTTCGATTTATCACAATTAGAATCAAAAGGAACACACAATCGTGTCCGGGCTGTAACTTTGTCATGCATGCAAGTATTTTAAAATAACTTGGCATAAATGTCTACAATATCAAGACAATGTGCCGCGTTCAATAATCACGTCCCTACCTCAAAAGTCAAGGTCACACTACCATTTTGAAGTTAACATTTAAAAGGATTTTAAAATAACTTGGCACAAATGTCTACCACATCAAGACAATGTGTTGCGGCTAAAGCTCATGTCCGTCTGTCCGTGTGTCCCCACTTACACAACAATCATGTCCAGACTGTAACTTTGTCATTCATTGGGGGATTTTGAAATAATTTTGCACAAATGTCTATCTCATAACAACATTTTGTCGCGTCCAGTAACCATGTTATTTTTCAAAGTACAAGGTCACACTTATAATTTGAAGGTTTATGCTATCACATGAACCTCATATTGAATTAAAATTGTTGGACAAAAGTCAGATAGATCAATCTATTATACAATAATTGTGTATGGAGACACATCTGATAATGTATACAGTGTATATTTCACTTTCAACATGGTCGTGAGGAGAAAATGTACTCATATCAGTTTAAAAGCATGTATTGGGGGTGTCTGTGGCCCAGTGGTTTAGGTAAATGTTAACTCCAAACCACTTGCCTCTCACAGCTTTTGGTTCGAATCACGATAGGGACTTTGGATTATTTTGTGTGAGGAAGTTATCCAGCTAGTTGTTCTGCTGAGTTCTTCCTACACCAGTAAAGCTTGAATGTCGCCATATAACCTATACATTGGTGTGATGTAAAACTGAACCTAAAATAGTAACCAGACTGTCAATCCAAAAGTTGAATGACTTACACACTGAAAAGTACACCATCATGCCAGGTATGTGCGCAAAATGACAATTATTGGTACTAAGTAATGAGGGATATGAATTATAGTTGAAGTATAGTTTTGTTGTTCATATCGTCAGCATTATCCAGATCAAAGTTTTTTGTCCCAGTCATGGCCCTTTTATATTTTTCAATTTTAAAGTTCGTCCGAACTACTCCTCTTATACCACTAATGCAATTTCAATGAAACTTTACAGGATTGATCAAGTCCTTGCACATATTGCACGGGTTAACTAGTTGAATGATGTTTGGCCGAGTTAATGGTCCTTTAATAAAAAAAATGTGTTTTTTGTGTGTTGTTAGATCCTGGTGCAATTTCATTCAAACTTTACAAGAATGATCAGTAGTACCAAGTCTAGCGATGCATGTCATTGACTTTTTATGGTTCAATGAATTTTGTCTGAGTAATGGCCCTTAAATTATTTTAATTTTTTAAAGCTTCATCAGACTACTCTTCTTATACTACTGACGCAATTTCAATGAAACTTTACAGGATTGATTGGTAGGTCAAGTACCTGCGTATATTACACAGGCTTTCCGCTTGAACGATTTTTGACAAAATAATGTTTCAATATATAACAAAGAAATATGTGATCAGGTCCTTTATCAAACTATAAATGTATATTTTAAACATTTATAATTATAAATAACCAAGGTGTTAAAGAACTGAATAGACCGATTACAAAAACGGTATATTCTTAGCATATACCTGCTTAATTGATGATATCACAAAAACAGTATTAAATTCAAGAAATCATACAAATATTTCGGCACGCAAAAAGTAATTCCCAAAATTTTTGTGACGCATAAATATCCACTTATACAGTACAACTTAACCTAGTCAACAAAAGTGATACACTCCACCAGATGAGCATTCTCTTCTGTAAATTTTGGAGAAAACTGAAGTAATTTTCTATTAAAACTGCACTGTTCTGACCTAAAGTGGCCAATATCTCTGCAACTTATTACAAGAGATCTAACTTTATATTACAGATAGTTCAAGGTGTTGGAGTTGGTGTAGTATTGAAGAAAGTTAGTGAAAATGCAATCATGAAATGGGCATCATTCTTGTTAGTGTGGTCATACCTAAGTCTTGTAAGTAAATCTTTGTTGTTGTTTTTTTTTGGTGGTGATGGGCTTTTATGTACATAGTTCTGAATGGGAAGATAACTATTGAGCTAAAAAACAAATTTGATTAATAGTAATCACAAACTCTGTTTAATCAAATATCTGGGAAATATCCTTCAGAAGCATTAAAAACAGCAAAAGTACATGAAAATTGCAGGTCTCATTTTGTTTGAGAGAATTGAGAAGTTCATAACATATCTTTAACAGTTGTTGTTGTTGTTTTTTAAAGAATCAATTGAAATGGGTTTCCATTTTGATAGTGAAAATACAATGTATAATTTAACAATTTTAAAGAAAACTGCAGTATCAAAAATGGTTAACCAATATCAATGACAAAGATGTGTGCAGATGAAAAAAAAATAGTAAAGTTAAAAATTGCTTGACATTTTAACATGATCAACATTGACTTGTTCTCTGTTTTAGTCATATGTATCAACTATAGTACAGCTATGTTTAGTTCTGGCACCATTAACCATTGGTCTAGCATCACAAAATATTGTCATCAGTAGTGCTTTAACTAGAACAGTTGATGAAGTGGATACAGGTAAATTGTTTGTTTTGTGTCTATACCCTTTGAAAAGTTGGCTTCTTCAGTGGCGCCTGTACTGGCAATGAAAGCCACCCTGTGTCACCTATGTAGCACCAGGCCAGCCTGAAATCTCTATAGTCTGACCAGGCTGTATGTTGTTGGGCTCTCAACTTTTAATAGTTTGATTCCAAAATCCCTTAGCAGCTTATGAACTGTTCAAAATTCAAAGTATTGCTAGTTCTTAACACAATATTCATGATTTACTTTGTTGGTGCATCTCTAAAAAGCGCTTTGCTCAAGATAATTATATAAGATACATAATTATATTCAAACACATGATTGCTTAATTTTCTTCATTATTAAAGAATTTACTTTAACTTCTCAATATGCAAGTATATATGAATATTACATTTATATTAAACTTTGCATCAATGTTTTTCCTATACTTATATAAGTGTCAGGGAACCTTTAAATGATAGGATGATATCAGCAGTGAGTATCTGTGCTAGCACTGTTGACTACAAACCACTGACCCCTCATGGCTTTTGGTTGTAATCTTGAAAGTTGCTAGGCATTGTTTTATTAGCTGAAGTTATCCAGGTAGCTTACAGAATTTCAGTGGTTCTACTCGGGGTGTCTGTTTGCCTGTGACTCAAATAAGGCATGGAGAGGCACACAAGGTTTTCATTTACCATTGAAGCTAGAAAATTACCTTAAGATGTTTTTAGTTTACAGTATTGGTGTTACATATACAAGTATAACATTACAAAAATAATGACAAAACTATTGTCGATTAGGGCCTCTAAAATTTTAGTGGTATATAACTGCAAAGAACTTTTCAGAAATTATATATTATAAAAATTAGACTTTGTGGGAAGGGCTGTTGCTAATACATGTATTGTAATAACTTGTAGCCCAACCCATTTGCACTATACTTATATGTACATTTGTTTTTATATTATTCATATCTTACATGTATTATATAGTTGCAATAAAATATTATTAAACTAAACCGCAAAGAAGTTTCACACATTGTACAAGCTCATTGCAATATGTTTCACTACATTTGACTTGAAATTTAGTTGATTAGGCAATATATATTCTTTCCTGTAGATCCTTTCCATTTTGTTAAAGTTAAAAGTGCTTATATATGTAAATTTTGGTTTTATAACTCTTTGTGTTATTATTCTTAATTTTATTTTGTTGATAATTTACAGGTGCTATGCTGGGTTTAAATATGGCTACAAATTCACTGATACGAACTGTTTCACCTACAATTGGTGGTATCATGCTGGAGAATCTCGGTTTTTCATCTTTCGGTTACCTTGGTTTCCTGTCATCTGGTATTGTTACTGCAGTGCTTTTTGTAAAATTCCGAAACAAAACATGACATTAACATTTTCTCTGTTTTTGTATGTTTTCAATGGCATTTAATAATATGTGGACATACAAGTACTTACAGCTTGTGTTTAATGTTAACTGTATTTAAGGCAGCATGTCTGCAAGATAAGTTGACAATTTTTTTCAAAAATTCAAATTTAATACCCACTTATCCTCAGAAGGGAATAAGAGATTCTTTGCCCCCTGAAGATAATTCAAACCTGTTTATAATAATGGATTAAGAGCATGTTAGATGCTGTCATGTGCAGAAATCAGTGTTGATTGTGAAAATAAATTGTCATAAAACAAGCAAAATATGAAAAAGTGGTATTTTGTCTTCCACACAAAACTTCAGTTCCTCTGTTTATTAAGCTATATCTGATGAAATATTTTATGAGAATTTGAAAACAGTAAAATTCATTTGTTTTCATATTAACCCTAATAGATATATCTTAAAAGATTTGTAACATATTGTTATATGTATATTATTTAAATATTAGGAGCATTGTATGTAAACAGAACAAAATGTTACAGAACAATAATTATGCTACTATTTTAGCAGGTTTGGGGATGGTTTCATACAATTTGTATGTAAGGCTGTGCCATTTGGCTTGACAATCTGTTTAAACACTTGACAATGCTTTTACTGTCAATCTAGAACATATCAAACAGTTTCTAAACTTATATATATAAAAATAGTGTAATTCTTTAGGCATGCTGCTTTAATAAAACATATATTTGTATATTATGCCAATTATTTTTACTCTGTTATTTAAAAATGGTATTTATTTATGTTTTATCTTATATTTTTAGCTCACCTGAGCTTGCTCAGGGTGAGCTTTTAGGATCGGTGAATGTCCGTTGTCCGTCCGACCGTCCACAATTGCTTGTGAACACTCTAGCGGTCGCATTTTTGCCTCAATCATCATCAAACTTGGTCAGGGTGCTTGTCTACTTGAAAGCTCGGATGAGTTCGAACATGGGTCATCTCGGATGAAAAACTAGGTCACAAGAGCTAAAAATAGAAAAACCTTGTGAACTCTCTAGAGGTCACATTTTTGACCCAATCATCATCAAACTTGGTCAGGATGTTTGTCTAGGTGATAGCTTGGATGAGTTTGAACATGGGTCATCTCGGATGAAAAAGTAGGTCACTGGAGCTATAACTAGAAAAACCTTGTGAACACTCTAGTGGTCACATTTTTGAACCAATCATCATCTAACTTGGTCAGAATGCTTGTTTAGTCAATTGCTTGGATGAATTCGAACATGGGTCATCTCTGATGAAAAACTAGGTCACACGAGCTAAAAATAGAAAAACCTTGTGAACACTCTAGTGGTCACATTTTTGACCCAATCATCATCAAACTTTGTCAGGATGCTTGTTTAGATAATAGCTCGGATGAGTTCGAATATGGGTCATCTCGGATGAAAAAGTAGGTCACCAGAGCTATAAATAGAAAAACCTTGTTAACACTCTAGCGGTCACATTTTTGCATCAATCATCATCAAACTTAGTCAGGATGCTTATCTAGTTGATAGCTTGGATGAGTTCGAACATGGGTCATATCGGATGAAAAAGTAGGTCACCGGAGCTAAAAATAGAAAAACCTTGTTAACACTCTAGCGGTCACATTTTTGCATCAATCATCATCAAACTCGATCAAGATGCTTGTCTAGGTGATAGCTCGGTCGAGTTTGAACATGGGTCATCTCGGATGAAAAACTAGGTCACAGGAGCTAAAAATAGAAAAACCTTGTTAACACTCTAGTGGTCACAATTTTGACTCAATTGTCATTAAACTTGGTCAGGAAACTTGTCTAGGTCATTGCTTGGAATAAATCGAACATGGGACATCTCGGATGAAAAACTAGGTCACAGGAGCTAAAAATAGAAAAATCTTGTTAACACTCTAGTGGCTACTGTTGTGATCCAAATATTCTGTTAATTGGTCTGAAAGTTTGTTTTGATGATTTCTAAGTCAAGATCGAACATGGGTCATCTTGGATGAAAAACTAGGTCACACCGCCCAAATATGGAAAAAACCTTGTTAACATTCTAGTGGTCACATTTTCGACTCAATTATCATCAAACTTGGTCAGTATACTTGTCTAGGTAATTGCTTGGATGAGTTCGAAATCGCATGTGAAACTAGGTCACCGGAGCTAAAAATAGAAAAATCTTGTTAACACTCTAGTTGCTACTGTTTTGATCCAAGTATCCTGGAAATTGGTCTGAAAGTTTGTTTTGATGATTTCTAGGTCAAGTTTGAATATGTGTCACCTGGGTAAAAAACTAGGTCGCACTGCTCAAATATGGATAATCCTTTTTAACATTGTAGTGGTCACATTTTTGACTCACCTGTCATGAGACTTGGTCAGAATGCTTGTCTAGGTAATTGTTTGGATGAGTTTAATAATTCAGGTGAGCGATCTAGGGCCATCATGGCCCTCTTGTTATACATTTGAAACATAGGGTTTTTAATTTAAACACATTCCAAATCCATAACACTTTAAGATAATCAGGTCATAGTTTATGTATTCATCCCAGATTTTTGAATTTAATTTGTATTATCAAAACAAAAAGGGAAAACCAAAACAAAGAACATCTAATAATAGTATATATTTTTAACCAGGTTTTCCGAAGGAAAAAACTGGTTATTAGATTGAGGTATGTCGGCGGGCGGGCGGATGGGCGGGCGGGCGTAAACAATTTCTTCTGTGCGCAACTCCTTCTACATTTCTCAACGGATTTTGACCAAACTTTCACAGAAGCTTTGTCATCAATTAAGTGCCCTGGCGCATATTGTCAGGGTTTTACGATTGGACCTAATTATTAATTATTTGACCTAATTATGGCCCTTTGTTTTTTTCCTTATATAGAATATATAGTGAACAATTTCTTCTTTGCGCAATTCGTCCTACATTTCTCAACGAATTTTTTTCAAACTTTCACAGAAGCTTTGTAATCAAGTGCCCTGGGGCATATTGTGGGAGTTTTGCAATTGGATAATATTTGACCTAATTACGGCCCTTTGTTTTTTTTCCTGATATAGAATATATTATAGTGAACAATTTCTTCTGTGCGCAACTCCTCCTACATTTCTCAAAGGATTTTGACCAAAATTTCACAGAAGCTTGTCATTAAGTGCCCTGGGGCATATTTTCGGGGTTTTGTGATTGGATAATATTTGACCTAATTAAGGCCCTTTGTTTTTTTTTCCCTATACAGAATATATAGTGAACAATTTCTACCGTGCGCAACTTCTGCTCTCAATGGATTTTGACCAAACTTTCACAGAAGCTTTGTTATCAAGTGCCCTGGCGCATATTGTTGGGGTTTTGTGATTGGATAATATTTGACCTAATTATGGCCTTTTTTTTTCCTTATACAGAATTATCAATATATAGTGAACAATTTCTTCTGTGCTGAACTCGTCCTACATTTCTCAACGGATTTTGTTCAAACTTTTACAGAAGCTTTGTCATCAAGTGCCCTGGAGCATATTGTCAGGGTTTTGTGATTGGATAATTTTTGACCTAATTGGCCCTTTGTTTTTTTTCCTTGTACACTTCTTCTGTGGCAATTTCTCCTACATTATTCATGTTTTACATCGCACATAGTTACATTGTTTGTTGCTTGTATTTGTATTTCAAATACAACATATTTATCTACAATGGTGATAATTGAAAACCTGGTTTCGTGGCATTGCCATGTTTCTTGTTATATACATGCACTGGCTTTATAATATTTTTTTTCTTCAGTTTATATATAAATAGTTTTCAAAGGCAAACAACTTTTTTACATGTCTTTTAGTGTACCTGTTGGAAACAAAAGTCACCAGTATATGATTATGTCTTCTTTGTTGGAATTTATTTTCATGTTTAAGTAGCAGACTACAGAAAGTACAGATGTTGTTTTGAACTTCAGTTTGCAATCTAACCAGGCTGTATATTGTTTGCTGACAAACTTCAAATTTTCATCTAGATATCCCTCATATTAATAATTAACTGTCCCAAAATAAGAAGCCAAACTAGTCAATTTAAGAAATTCAGCAGATAAAACATGATGTTATTGGTCAGGACCGGGTTGTTCAAAACATTGGTTAGTGTTAACCAGTGGTTAAATTCATTATCCGCTGGTTAAATTTTGTCTGTTGGATAAATTCTGTTGCTCAAAACTTATCTAAGTGATAAAATGCGTTATCCAGCAGTTAACTTTAACCAGTCGTATGACCACCGGATAATGCCCTTAACCAGTGGTTAGTCATCATCATTAAAACAGTAAAAATCATTAAAACTTGTTTAAAACAAGATTTTTGTTGCAAAAAATATGTTTATTTTTCTTTACTAGAACATTTCATATAAAATGCATAGGATTAAATTGAAACATTTCTGAAAAAGTGCTTTTAGAACCCTTTTTCAATCTAAATTTGTTGTTGTTGTAGTTAAGAAAATTCAGTTAAACAGTCATAACTTTCTTATTCTTTAATAAAACATACAAGTGTCAGTACTCATTTTCTTAGTTAGAACATTACTTATCTAATGGAAGTAATTTCAATCCAAAATTTGAAAAAAAGTTGTTTTTGAATTTTTTCTTATGTGTGTCTATAAGGGAAAAATAAATCTATCAATACTTTAAGGCCTCTGATATACTTTTTGTTTAATTCCAAAAACAAGAAAGCACAAAACATGCAAAAATATTTTTGGGAGCTTTTTGATTCTAATGAATTTATTATATGTAAAAAAAATCAGCCATTTTGTTTCCAGAATCACTAACCAACCCTGTTGCATTGTGGTACTTAACCAGTGGATAAATACGCTATCCACTGGTTAGGTAGCCAGTGTACTATCCAACTATTGAACAATGAAATTTTATCCACTGGATAGCTGGCCGCTGGTTAAGGATTTAGCCAGTGGATAAGCTATCCATTGGTTAATTTTAACCAATGTTTTGAACAACCCGGTCCAGGTGGTATTTATTTATGCAAATATTACATGGAAGAGTAACAAGTACTACTAGGTTTCTCTCGTTTTATGGCCAAGAATTTACATGTAATGTAAGAGGGATTATCCAAAGATACTAAAATTTCTAGAAATTAAAGAAAAACATTTTTTTTGTCAGTAAAATTGTTTAGTACAACTTGATAGATGACTTAGAAATTAATAAAGGGAAGTTATTCATATAGGCAATAAAAAGCATACACTCCTGGCACCTGTTACATCTAGCTTTGCTACTTTAATCTCTGCCATTACTATAGAACATTTATACACATTTATGAAAGTGAAAAAGCTGCCTTCTTATTTTCTTCGTTATTGTCATGAAATATTCTTTTTTAACCTTTTGTACATTAAGGAGACTCCACAGAGATTTTTTGACATGACGGGACTGGAAATAGTTTTCAAGGTAACTGTTACATTTGATGTAGGTCTACACTAATAAGTTGTTAGCAAAAGTTCAGATATATCGCTCACTGT